CCCCCCGCCGCGTGCGCGCAGCTCACCCTTGCCCAGGTGCGTGTTGATGCTCATGTATCGCGCCGTGCCCGTCAGGCTCTTGTGCTCGCGGTACGGGATGTGCTTCTTGGTCTCAGGGTCGATGTACTCCTTGGCCAGCCCGAAGTCGATGATGTGGATGGCGTGCTGCCGCTTGGTCCCCGGGCGGCCCACCAGGAAGTTCTCGGGCTTCACGTCCCGGTAGATGAGGCTCTTGGTGTGCACGTACTCCATGCGTGTGATCTGCAGGGGCAAAGCGGTGTCGGCCAGGTCCCTCCCCAGCCCACGCGCTCCCTCCAGAGCCACCCTCTTCCTACCGAGCCCCGCCCGCCCGCCCGCCGCGCACCAGCTGGATGGCGATCATCAGCACCGTCTTGAGCGTGAAGGTCCGGTCGCACAGGTCGAACAGGTCCTCCAGGCTGGGCCCCAGCAGCTCCAGCACCATGGCGTTGTACTTCCCGCACGGGCCGAAGTAGTAGACCTGAGGGACGCCCTCTGGGGCAGAAGACAGACGCAGGGGCGTGCGGCAGCGGCCCCCTCCCTGCCCCTGCGCAGCCCCTGCCCCACCCGCGGGCTGCCCGGTACCTGTGGCGCTGAGCTGCTTGTAGAACCGGTACTCCAGGTGCAGCTGCGGGGCCCGGGACTTGATCGGCTCCTGGGGGCACAAGCGCGAGTCACCGGGGACACTGGTCGCTGCCCTGAAATCCCTGGGGGTATGTCAGCGGGGGTGGGGTGGAGGGGCCGACTCACCAATTTGATAGCCACGTATTCATTTGTATAGAGATTCTTTCCTGTGGGGACAGACAGCATCAGCACCCTGGCGCCAGGCCCACCTAGCCCCCACCTTCCCAGCCCGCCCCCCAGGAAGGAGGCAGGAGGGCCCCTCCCTGGGGCGTCGGTCCCGCCCGGGCCTCACCTGGTTTTTGCTGTGCGGCTGGCCTTTGTCCCGGAGCTGAGGCTGGGAGGGCAGGTCGGTGTGGACGGTGCCGATGGGGGTCGGCTGTGGGGGAATGAGCACGACTCAGGATGGGCTGCAGTGCCGGTTCCCATCTCCTGCAGGGCGGTTTCCTGGTCCACCTCCCCACACACCGGGGCCCCCCACCTACCAGGGGCTTCCCGGCCCAGTCGTACTCATAGTCGAACACGAAGCCGCTGCGGTCGAAGAGGTCGGTGAAGAGCTTCCGCAGGTAGTCATAGTCCGGCTTCTCGAAGAAGTCCAGGCGCCGCACGTAGCGCAGGTACGTGGCCATCTCCTCTGCAGAGAGAGTGCCAGCGGGGCCTCGGCGGGGGTGGGGGCACGG